TAGAAATCTATGAATCTATGAATCTTCCAAAACTTTCCTGAGGATTGAGCACTTTACAAATAGTACTGCATTTATTCTGTCAAGGAAACACTGTCCTCGTTTTACAGAGGAGGAAACGGAGGCTTAGAGAAGTGAAATAAATTGAACAAGGTTCAAGTTACTTGTTGGCAGAACCAGGAGTAAGACACATCCTTTGATCTAACCTCTTTCTCCAACCTCTCCCCCATTTCTTTGATCTTACAGCTCTTTTTTGTGGTCTGGCTTGGCAGTACTGTTTTCTGAAGTTCTGGTGGTTCAGAGATGCTGAGCTTGGCCTATTTCTGTGCTGCAGTCTTGACGTGAATTGTACAAATACCTGTTTTTGTGCAGAGCACTGTTGCTCCAGGTCACTGCTGTTGTCTATATGTGAATCCATCTGGCTGTTCTGTTCCAGGGAAGTCCTACTCGAGAACCCTGCTGCAAGGGGTGGTGCCTCTTCTGCCCCGGGAAGACTGTGAGGTCCGTTATGGACAGAAGTTCACTAATCGCATGATTTGTGCTGGGAACCTCTCTGAAGATAAACGGGTGGACAGCTGCCAAGGTGACAGTGGAGGGCCACTTATGTGTCAGCGGTCAAATGGACGCTGGATCATTTTGGGGATCACCTCCTGGGGTTATGGCTGCGGTCGGAAGGATTCCCCTGGCGTGTACACAAAGGTCAGCAAATACGTACCCTGGATCAAGAAAGTGGCCAAGCTAAAATGAAAATGTCTGGGCTCTAGGAACTTCAGCATATGGTCCTTTTGCCCTGCAGCAGCAGAAGGCTTTGGCTTCTGTCCTGTGACTGACTGATGGAAGTTTAGTTTGTTGGCTGCTGGGAAAAGACTTTAATGTAGAAGGGGGAGGATAACAGTTATGGCTGATTCTTTGAAGTCTTTGGTTTCACTTTAGTCTTAATCTCTGAGCAGAGAAAGCAGGTGCACACTGGTAAGAATTATAAGTCTGAGTTGCTCTGACTGCCTGAGTCCTGGAACGCGATCACAATTGTTCCTTCGCCCTGGCACACAGAAACGGTGGGAGTGGAGAGACGCTTGCCTCTGTAAAGCTGTTCCTGTTTCTATATGTTTGCACACTTGAAAAACACTGCAAGGAGAGGTGAGATGTTTGGAAGATGGCACCAGGCTCTGGCATACTTCAGATATTTTTTCATAACAGCTCTCTTCAATTCCAGGAATCAGAATGTTTGACCTGAGCTGAGGAACAGGTCAACAGCTGGCTTTTTTTCCTTCCCTGTTATGTCTCTAGGGGGAACCTTTTCTCTTCTGAATAGTAGGTCTGCTCCCATAGGATCCCTTTAAACTGTCTGTCCCTGCTAAGAGATGCTTGTCCCTCCTGCTGTAATCCTGTATCACACATTTCCAGCTGCCAGACGCTATAGTTTTACTGCTGCTTTCTCAATATAGTGGTTCTGTTGTGTTTGGTTTTGTTTGTTTGTTTGTTTTTTCCTTAAGGCAGCATCTCCTATAATCAGTTGTTGGTGTGAGAGTAAATCTTAATTTTTAAGAAACAATAGCTTTCTTGCCCTTGTGATTACTACGAAGAACTTAAAAACGTGACCTCAAAAGGCTGAACAATCACATTATTTTTTCTTTAAATCTAAATGTAATGTTAATCTCAAACATTCAAGTGTTGAGTCATGATTTAACAGCACTGTGGGGACTTTCTCTTGGTACCTTATTCAACATGGTTATTAGCTGCCCTAACATTTGTGATGTTAGTCTTTAATATTTCTTTGTTCACAGTTCTCCCATGAAACATGGAAATACTCCTGGGGTACAGATACAGAACAAACACGGGGAGTAATTTGCTTGAGATGTAGAACAGCAAGTGCGCTGCAAAGCAGCTTCCTGCTTTCCCAAAGTGTGTCCTATTCTTGCAACCTCTGGGCTATGTTTCCTCTATTCTCTTCTTTGCACTATTTCTCTTTTCGTTCCTCTCAGTGGGAGCAAACTGGCTTAACTCGAGGGTATGCAAGCAGTGCCACCAAGCTGTAGTTCTCAACCTGAACAGAAATAATGCTGAGAGAAAGCAGAGGCTGTTGAATACTTCAATTTCTTCTTTCCCTTTCATCCAAACACATGAACAGAGTTTCCACTTAGGCCTTAATCACTTTTGTAAGTTAATTTATTATTCTCAAGTAGGTAGAAAAATATAAAAATAGACAGAAGGGCTGAGTGCATTAACAGTTGTGCAGTGCACACAGGGTGTTCTCGTGGTGTGTAGACAAGCCAAAGAGAAGACAAGTCTGCTCAGGAGCAGGGGCAGTAAGCTTTGATGTATAACCAAGGACCAGAACATGAAGTAATAATACAGAAAGGGACACATGGATTACTTGTGCCAGATGTGCATGTTTGGGGTTTGCTCAGGCACTGTAGGGTAGGCAATGACTGGGTCAGGCACTGGCCTGCTGCATGGAAGGGCTGCACTTGAGGCACCAAGATGTTCAGTGCCTAGATATTACCAAGGCAAGGACGGAAGGCAGAGCACAGCCTGTGCATTCGCAATGTCGTATTACAGGGCATGTAGTGAAAGAGTCCTAGAAATTGCCCTGGATTCAATAAGTAGTGATTGCCTAAAGCTTTGATTTGTCTTCTATAAAACAACTGAATGTAAAGGTGTTGACCTGTCCAGCTGGCTGATCTTTGTGTGTGAATGCTAAGATAAACAGTTCCATTTACCCTCTCCAGCAATTAAAGGATAGTTGGGTTACCAACGCTGCAATGGACTACAGTAGAAACTGTTTTAAAAAAGAATTGTAGGCATCCTGAAAACATGCAATGTCAGAACTCCTGCAAACTGGTCTTTGAGGCAGATCTGATCTGTTCATGCCTCTTCTTGAGGGACTGAATGTCTGCAGTGCTGCTTGTGCTGATAACCTGGCTCGAAGTGCCAGGCTCAATCCTTCAGCAGTGCTGTGCTTGGCTCCACGCTGGCTGTGCTGTCCTGCAGCTGCTGGCAGAGACTCCCTGAGACACAAGCTGCAGACTGCTCCTTATCTCCCAGGAATTAAAAGGACCGAGGGCAATTATGTTAAAGACCTCTGGTCTTGGTGGGGATTAAATGCCAAGTTCCACACTGACAGCAATAGTACCTGTCTGGGAAACATGGAAGGATTTGGCATTTAAGTTCAGCCTCCCCCAAGCCAGCATGCTACAGCAGCTCAAATGGAGTTTCTGTGCCTTGGATGCTGTCACGTCTGTAGTTTAACCTGGCTTGATTTTTCAGTATATACCCATAACCCCAACAGGCAGAGAAACACCCAAAGGATTGAAACTATGAGGTTATTTCCCTAAGCCTACTTAACTGGTTACCATTCAGGAGTTAGAATAAATGAGACACAGGCCTGGCATTGTCTTCTGAAATTCCCATGTTCCAGGTCAAAATACTTCTTTCTCCTAGAGCTTGTCGCCATGAAAGCTGTGATAATCCTTGTAAGTAACATCCCCAAGTCCTCCATGACCCAGGAGAAAGGAAGGAAATATCTGATCTCCTTTGCCTAATTTTACACCTTACTGTACTGTAGGCAAGTCTGTCAATACTCTCCTCAGTTGTCCTAATCTGTTTCAGAGCACCATTCTTGCTCTTCACTGTTTAAACTGGGACTGTGGCCCAAACCAAACTCACGTGCTTTGCCACCGAGGCTTACTGGAACTGCCTGGTTGGATAAGCGGCACTCAGCCGCCCTGGGACTGTATTATGTACCTGAAGCTGGCCAGCAGCAGATGTTTCAAAGGATAGTACGTGTGAGTTTGTACTGAACAAGTTTTAACAACTTTGCCTTTTGGGGAATTTTGTTCTTGGCCCATTTAAATTAATTACTTGCATTATTATTATTATTATCATTAAAAATAGAAGTACAAGTACTCGGTCCTCTAGGTGTTGTACAAATACTATGTACTATCCTTTTGTGATTCTTTTTTTTGTAAAGTGTGAGAGTTTATATCCCTAACTTTTAAAAAACTATTTAATGTAACCAGCCTTCATCTTCCACATAAATGTTTAATCCCTTATTTAATCCAACCAAGCTCTCAGCCTCAGTATTTTCTGGCAATGAGAACCAATATAATTTTATTTTCCATAGCGCATCATTTCTTTTATGGTTCCAGAATTAATTGCCTTTTGTTTTCATTGAATCCCATCTGTCCTTGTGTTCTCAGCTATGAGAGGAAATAAGGGGCCTGGCTTTATATTCTCTTTGTCCATTACTCTAGAGATAGTCCCTTTTCTAAAACTGTGGCTTCTCTGTCTCTCTTCAACCCAAACTATCTAGGTATCTGATAACATGCTGACTGTCTCTCCATGTCTTTTCTTTCTGCTGAATCTTTAAGCTTTGGTTACCAGAACTGAATGCAGTTTGCCAGGGGAGGCTGTGCCATCTGCTGATTATTTTCAGTACCATTTTCTGCAGTAGGCAATGCTGTCAGTGATTTCAGCGCTGTATTGTGTATTACGTATGTACTTTGGAGCTAGCTTTAAACTTCCTAGTGTGGTCTCGGTGGCAGCTTAGCTGCAACAGGACGAAAACCTGTCAAGGTTAGTTCCCCCTGTGTCTCAGGCAGCAGCCCCTCTGAGCTCAGAGCGATTGCTGTAGGTATGTCTGAGGAGCGTAACGCAGCTCTGGGCAGGGAGCACCTGAATAGCTGTGTGGGGCTTTGCTTTGGCTGACGTGCCTGTAGGGCTGATATGGTCCATCTTCACAGTGTCAGTCTGTTGGATAAGGCTAATGCACACACATTATTTCCAGGAGCTGGGAGCTCAGTCGCTGCTGCTGCTGGCCACGCTGTGCCATGTGGATGCTGTGAGACAGTTCCTGTAGCAGTGTGGCATGCACCAGTTATGTGAGAAAGGGAATGTCACTGTGACTGGCTGGGAGCATTGGCAGGAGTAGAAACATGGCTATGGTAAGGGTCTAAGGAGCAGCTATTAGTGCTCCAGGTATCCCTCTTTGAGGGAATACCCCAGTGCTCTACAAAGGCTGACCCAGTGCCAGGGTCTTCCTGACCTGCAGTGCCTGCACACTGGTACCCTTATTAGCCCTGTCTTGACACCAGTCCAGGCTTTGGCCAGCTGAAGCTGGATTAAAGATTTATCCCTTTTCTGTAGCTGAACATCGTTCTGATGATTTCTGTGAGTTATGTTCTATGCTGTAATTAATCAGGCAGCTGTTTATTAACCCGGACAGGATGTAAATTACCCTTGTAATCCTTGTTCCCTTGTAGCAGAGAATAACAGATCAGCTCCTCAAGGGTATTAGCAGAAGCATTGATGAGGAACCAGGCACATGGATATTTGCTCTCTCAGGGGTAAGGGAGGTGGGCCTGCCTTTTGTATGTCTTCCTTCCTTTCTGAAGCCAATATCCTAAAGTCTCTTCACCCCCCAAAAAAAAGCTGTGGTGATACATCAACCACTTGAAGCCTGGCTTTTTTATGTGTATATTCAACAATCACATGAAAGCTTTTGAGAGATGAACTCCACTGTGGTATTTAACACCATCTTGATAGACTCACTGAGAGATTCTTGCAGCTGGGGGGAACAGACTGGCTCCTGGTGGTAACCAACTTGACACCACTCCTGTGGAATGAGGCACTGTGACCCGCACCAAGGCACATCTCATGGGCTATCTTTTTACTTGTTAAGGAAAATAGTTAATTCCCCATATTAAGGAGAAACACTCATTTGTGTAGCAGCCCACTCAGTCCTACTA